TCTGTCACCAGCAGAATGGTCTTCTGTGGCGGAAACAGTCTCAAATTCCCCTTCATTGGAAGCAGGGGTCTCCTCCGGCACAACAACTCCGATTGCCTGACGCCGAGCCTCTAGGAATTGCTTGATTAGCGACACCTTATATGATAGTACATATACATACACACACACACACACATACACACACACACACACACATACATACACACACACACACACACACACACACACACACACACACACGCACACACACACACACACACACACACACGCGCACACACACGCACAATGTGTACTCGTACATGCTGCCCGCCAAAACTGGTCACGTGAGTCTCCCCCGGAGAGGGAAGAGATTCAATCGTTTTCCAGTGTAACCTTTTGAACCATGTCACGTGATGTGAAGTTCTGCCGTCGCAGCACTGTATAGAGATTGTACAGGCAGTTGCACACTCTTCTTGGGGGTTATGTACTCTTAGCGCCGGTATAGAGCACTGTCTATTGGTGACGCACGCATCCAAACAAAGCAGCACAGTACGTGCGCATTCTAATAAAGCTGTAAGACATGCACTGCATAAATCTCAAAGTACTCGTACAAACTGTGCAGTGCTGCAAAGGTACAAATAGATAAATATCAAACAAATATTAACGTGCAGGCCAACGACCCTGTCAGCAGTACACTGCAAGGTGTACCCTCTGGGCCGGGTAATCATACCTGTACCGCGTACAGAATGAGGGCACCCGTACATTGTCATGACGACTGTTCTATTGGAAAGGTGTTTGATCCCCACACCGGATCTCGCCCTTTTTTCCCGCCTAGCCTACTCAAGCTCAACCGACGAGGGGCGAATTCCCCCGACACATTGTGTATTGAGCAGGGAGTGGTGCTTTCTTGCAGGTTTTCCGAGTGGAAGGTTCGATGGACTTGCTCGTGTGCTCTGGATGGCGGTAGTGAGTCAGTCAAGTGTTGAGTCATGTCGGCGGAAAAGCACGAGCTCCGGTGTGGGGAGCGAACACCCTTCCGACTTCAAATCGCTACCACTACCACAACCTCGTTCGGTTGTTCCATTGTGATGGAAATACTAAATACCACTGACCGCTCTCTCCCCCCCCCCCCCCCCCCCCCCCCGCACAAACATGTACATGTATGTCCCGTCCTGTGCCATTGTACACATCCCAGCTAGATTAGCAAGTAACGTTAACGTTAGTTAGCGAACACAACTATCGGCAACTCGATGGCCCGCCATGAGCGCAAGCACTCTTGTCTTTACAATTCCCTGATTTGCTCTAAAACAGGTTCCAGGTGTAATAACGTGTATTCTTAGTAATAGACATCCTTAGCAAAAGTACGATAACGCTAACTTTTACGGTACTCACTCCCGGCCGTGACAAAAAACGTTATCGGATAACGGAAAAACGTTACAGAGCCCAAAATAACGGGCCGACGTTCGTTATGGTAATCCTGCACAAACCGCAAAAAATTACCTGGATGCCACATGTTTTTTCAGCTGGCGGGAGATATAAACACGTGCAGATGCGGGATCGATTCCTCTTTGACTTTAGTTTGAATTGTTGTTTTGTACCAGTTCTCTTTCACCATGTCTACGTCCTCTTGTTCGTCACCCTCTGGCCCATCTGGGAAACAGAGGACTCGATTCTCGGCTGAGGACGAAATTCTCCTCTTCCGAGAAGTGCTCTCACAGGAGAGTCCATTTAGCCGTGGTTCCTGCGTCTGGGAAAAAGTCTCTAAAAACCTCAGGACGAACGAGAAATCGTTTTCGCCACGTCTCTGTCGTGATCGAATCAAAGACTTGATCAAAGAGTTCATCAGGAACGACAACAAGGAGAGGGTGAAGTAAGTACATGACGCATCATTTAGCTTTGTAGGACAGACATTCACACGTGGATATTGACTGGATGAAAAACTTTTATGTGTACTGATGTTCTAGCTGTGATCAGTTGAATGATGCATTTGTGGTTACTCTTTTGTTATTCTTTTGTGCATTATATTTTTAGAACTGGCGTGGAGGAGGAGTATTCAGAGCGCGCTCAGCTCTTGTCTGAGCTGAGAGAGTTGTACCAGGGGGAAGAAGACAAGAAGGAGGAAACGGCTAAAGCAAAGAAACGAAAAGACGCAGACACGACAATGGCGAAGGACATGCGTGAGGCGTGCATGGAGACGTACGCGCAAAGCAAGAAAAGAGTTACTCAGGGTAAGCTGTAATTAAACGTGTCCCAGATTATTTAGACGACTATGTAGCCGCTGAGATAAATAAATATTTTAATGATGGAAACTCGGAAACCCAAATTTGCGAAGGTTTTATACTTGCACGATATGTTATGCTGGTGCCAATTCAATAAAATAGAAATGTTAACGGATACGTGTCTACTCTTTTCTTTTCTCGTACTTTTCTTTGTGCAGACGGCGAGGAGGAGAATGAGGAGAAGAAACCAACGAAACGGAGAAGGATGGATGTGGCGGAAGAAGTGAGGAAGAGAACTGCCCTGAAGGAGCGAGAGCTGAATTTGAGGGAGAAGGAGTATAACCTGGCAAAAGAAAAACAAGATGTTGAGCTGGAAGAGAGAAGAATGTTCATGCGATTTATGATGGAAAAAGAAAGGAACAACCAATAAAATGAATATATATTCAAACTCTCTGCCCTTTGTCTACTGCAAATACTCTTGCAGGGTTGGGGGCTTCAATCCAAAGTATGAGGATGTCTCATTTGCGTACAGGCAGGTGTGGCAGTTAGTCAGGAGTACAGCCACACGGTAGAATGTCCCAATGGAACCATGAAGAAGTCTCTGGGCCTTCTTCAGGTCCACATAGGCGAACTTGGCTGCAACTTCAGCAAACGCCCATTCAATGGCAATACGGCATTCACTCATTTGGCTGTTGTACTGCCGTTGTGGTGGTGTTAGGTTTGCACCAGCAAAAGGAGCCTGCAGGTGCTGACGCAGGGGGTATGCTGAGTCACCATAGAGTGTAAATACATCTCCCGCATCAGGTCCTCTGGCCGGCAAATGGGCTTCAATCTGGTCAAGCAACCCACTCATTCGTAGCATAGCTGCATCATGCCGTGACCCTTCCACGGGCCCAAAGAGATGCACAACGATGCCGAACGGTGTGGTGACGCCTTGAAATTTCTGCATGTGCATGCGCTTGTGCCCACTATACCAGATTCGTTGGCCACGGGTAGGGCGTGCAATCGGCCTGCCGGTACCATCAATAAAACCCCAACAATTGGGGATCGGGCATTTGCCATGGACTGCTTCAGCTGCTTCAAGAAGGCGATCCCTGGAAAGCCACTTGCCAGGACCCACGTTCTCCACTAGGTTGGACAGCAGTCCAGACCAACGATCGTGCAGACAGGAGAGCATGCAGTTTACAATGACTGTTATGGATGACTCGCCTCGGCAAAACATCTCCTCCAGGTCGTACATTCTACCAGGATAGCTCAGCCGACGTAAAAGGATGCAAAGACCTTCTATGCCAGACCAACTCAGACGGTTTGGTGAGTTCATCTCGTCCGGAATTCCAAGAGCTTCGCAGAGTTCAGGTATGTCTTTTTTGTGAAAGCGAAACCTCTTTTTAAAATCGTGCTCAGGCAATTCCTCAAAATTGAAATCGCGCTGGCTTCGACGAAACGCAGCTTCAGCAAGCTCAGCTCCCCTGTCCTGATAGGCCAGAAGCAGCACGTCCTCCAGGTCCGAGTCTTCACACTCCATCACCAAGTCCTCCAGGTCACGTACATCGTAGTCAACCATGATGGGTGTTAGAAAATTACCCCCACAACCGGTCTCAGGCATACCACGGCCAAAACACCACACAGGTCTGGACAAGTAATTATACTAACTGGAAGGTTATTGTTTGTGCTAATACATACGACAGTACAACAAGAGAGAGAACTTTGTTCACAAAACCATCGCCATCGGAACACACCAGAACTACTGTAAAAAGAGCAGCGTGTCTCCGAAAGGAACTGGAGCATGCATGCGTACCACAGCAAGCGCAAACAGCTGCACAGCATACATGCATGCGTACAAGAAAGCCGCATCCACCGGATGAATCACGCACATGAATCACATGACAGGCAACAAGAGGTAAGAAGTAATGCCAACTACACAAGACAGAGTCATACAAGAGAAAGTCATAGTTCGATTACACGTTCCCACCAGTTGGCATTACTGGCGGAACCTAGCCGGGGCATTCAGGCCATCACGGGGTCGAAGACGCATTACTTCCTCAGGCTCTACTGGCTGGTCTTCTGTTGTATCATCGGCACTCACACCATCTGTCGGGTCCGAGACATCAGGCTTGATAAGTGACACGTTGACCGTCTTCATTTGCAGCAAGCCTCCTGCATCTCTCTGAATTCTCACGGTGACAGGGGTCACAGTCTCAGTGACGACCCATCCATCCTCGTATGGCGGGAGCCTCTTCTGCTGGCGCTGTGGGCGTAGCATCATCACACGGTCTCCACGGCTGTACGGGTTCTCGGCCTCGGGGCTGCATGCGTCAGGCCGTGACAGCTCCTCTTCCACCAAGTCGCGTATCTGGCTAGCCCTGTTCGCAAGCTTGGTCACCCACGCACTTAGAGACTCAGCCGCAGCATCCTTCTCCACAATGAGATGACGTGGCAACCAGCCAAACATGGCTTCCATAGGGCTAATACCGGTGGCAGAGTGTGGCCGCGTACGGTAGTAAAACAGCAGCACTTCTAGGTCGTCCTTCCAATCAGATGACCGGTCAAGCACCTTCCGTATCATCGTCAAGAGCGTACGGTTCATCCGCTCTGCTGATCCCTGTGACTGCGGGTGGTAAGCTGCTCCAGTGCGCACCTTAGTTCCAAAGACGCGAAACAGCGAACTCACAACAGCATTCGCAAACTCCGTTCCGTTATCCATCCTTACGACTTCAGGCGCGCCAAACTGCAGGCAAACCTTGGTCACAGCTTCAGCGACTGACTTGGCATCATGACGAGGTAGCGGTATAGCATCTGCCCACTTCGTAAAAGCGTCGACAATGACTAGCACACAGTGATACCGCCCTGAGCGATCGATACCGAGCTCCAAGGTGTCAATGACTATCTCACTCCAAGGCTTTCCTGGGATGTCCGGGCGAACAGGCTCTCCAACAGGACCTCGCTTCGTGCTTGCTCGGACACAGGCCTGGCATCGGCGCACATAATCTTGGCAAGCTGTCGACATCGACGGGAAATAGCACTCAGCTCTCAGCATGTCATGCATAGTCTGCCAGTTGGCATGACCAGAGTTGGTGTGCACAGCACTGACAAGCTGACCTTGTAGCGACTCTGGTATCACTGGCACAGCAACGCCACCTTCCACAGGCAGCTTCACACTCCGGTACAACATGCCTTTGTCAACCAGTAGCTGTCCGCCGATCTTCTTGTAACACTCCACCGTCACAGGCTCCCCCTTCTCCACTTGGGCAATGGCTTGACGGACATCAGCGCACTGCTGTTGCGCAACACTGACTTGCTCCAAAGTCACAGGTCCAATCACCGTCAGGGCCATGGCAGCTACATCATCCTTCAGCAGGGTCTTAGCATAGTGCGTCCACTTCTGAGGAACGCGAGTTAGCCGGTCGGCCTTGTTGTCAGCTGTCGGAACCCAGATGACTTCCACTTCCAGACCCAATTGTGCCACGGTCTCTTCGATAACCTGCAGACGACGTTGGATAAGCACGCTATGCAACCCACTGGTCTTCACGCGCTTGGAGTCGGTCAGAAGCTGTTGGATCCAACTAGCAACGGTTTTGGAGTCGGTCATCAGCTGGATTCGCCGCGCTCCCCACTGGACTGCGAGGTTGAGTCCCTCAGCAGCTGCATCCAGTTCAGACAAGTTGATGTGGCGCTTGTCGTCCATCTTTCTCAGCCAACTGCAATCCTCGATGATACAGCCATTGAACTCCAAGGCCGCGCCATACGCGATATCAGAAGCATCGCACCAGACTTTGCATGGATCCTCTGCACTTCCGGGACCTTGCCACACACCGCCGACTGGGTCATCGCTGCTGAGGCGCTGGGCTAAATCAATGCAAAACTTCTTGAGCTGGTCAGGCAACGGATCGTCATACTTCAAGCCGAGAAGGCTAGTTAGACGCTTCAACCAGCTACAGTGCACTCGAAGCCAGCTCGCAACTGGGTAGTGGCCCACCAATGCTCCACACCACTTGTACACTGCACGACGTGTCAACACGTCCGGCAACGCGGTTCGGGGCCCATCTCGCCTAGCCCACTTGACCTCACCGCTGTCATCCTTGCTCAACTGCAGGCCAAGAACGCGCGCGGTCGCCGGGTCTTCCGCCGGCTTTGTCGGGAGTCCATACTCTGCCAGCTGCTTGACGACGGCATCCGTCTGCTCCTTGGGTACATATAGATCGTCGATATAGTTGTCGACAGCCGGAAACTGGCGAGTTGAGTACCGAACAATCAAATCCATCAGCTTAGGTGCTACTGACAGACCAAAGCCCATTCTTGTTAGGACATACGTCTGACCTTTCCACTTCACCACCTGGTAGCGCCATAGGTCAGGGCACACACGGACTTGCAAATATGCCTTCCGTATATCAATCAGAGCATATGAATCGGGATCTCCTGCACCGCGCCACTGCCGCAGCTTCTCTTGGCACGCAGGTGCTTCAGCACCAGGGTTGGATACCAGCTCTTTGTTCAAAGCAGTGTAGTCCAAACACGGTCTCACAGGCGTCGTCAACTTGTGCTCTTGTTTGACTGCTAGCAGGGGAAGTACTGCAGCCGGTTCTCCGTGGACCGCTGGATCATGAGGTACGAGCCACCCCTTCTCAATCCATCCGTCTACTTCATCACAGAAGGTATTCTCTTGCGATTCCGACAGACCGCTCCGCGAATACTGAGCCCCACCGGAGCCAATGAAACCCTCAGGCTCATTTTTGCTTGACCACTTCCACGATATCTCCCAGTGTCGCTCTTCAGCGTTCCAGCACACCGTGCCATCACTGGTGGTAAGCACGACATTGCCTGTGTCGGCGTCCTCTGTGACTTGCACATGCCGAGGGAGCTTAGTCGGTGTAGGTACAGCTCCGACAACGTCAGGTGCGCGTTTACCCGACTTCTCCTGGGCCGGGCCGATCACCACACCAGCTAGCCTTCCGTCATCGTATTCCATATGCAGACCCCCACACATTGTCACGAAGTCTGAGCCGATCAGCACGTCAGCCGACACAACGTTCAGGTCAGGAAGCACAACAGCGGACATAGTTGACTCGGGAATTGACACAGGACCATCATCACGCTTGAACTGCAGTTCCACCACGCCACGTGTAGTCAGCTGCTCTCCGTCCAAGGCAACAATTCCTTTGCCCAGACTCTCAGTAACAGGGACACCCAAACTGTCAACAAGTGCTTCGCTAATGAGCGTGCGACAGGAGCCAGTATCGATGATGGCTTGCACGCGCCTCCACACATCCCTGTCAGGTACAGCCACGTCTACAAACACACGAGGCAAACCAGGTCGCGTGGTAGTTACCGTAGCTAGGAGACATGGATCGGCGATCTCCACAGCCGCTCCGGCCACGCCTTTGCCTCTCTTCTGGTCTCGGAGCCATTGCTTTTTGAGCTCACAGTCCTATTGATAATGACCCGGTTGCTCACAGAAGAAACATGTAACATTTCGTGGCCCTGATGACTTCTGCTGGCCACCACCATATCCGCCGCCGCCACCGCTGCTGTAGCCACCGCCGCCACCACCGGCGTAGCCACCGCCGCCACCACCGCCGTAGCCACCGCCACGTCCTTCCGGGCAATGTTTCCGTATATGCCCAGGTTCACCACACTTATGACAGACAATATGGGACTTCTTCCCACCGGAAGGGCCAGACACCACTGCACCAGCAATACCTGGCCTTGCTGACACAATCTTGCGCAGTGCTCTCAACTTCTCCACACAGTCGGACACACGTAAGTCTTTCCCAGCACTTGACAGGCGGATCTCCTTGGCAAAATCAAAAGGGAGACCAGCCAGCAGCTGCTCAATAACGACAGAGTCGTCATCACCTGTCAGCTTGTGACCTGATGTAGCCAGCAGCCGCTGCAAATCAGACACGTACGCGTCAGGACTTTCATCAGAAAGGAACCGGCGGGACGTAAATTTTTCGTACGCATCACTTCCTGTCACGCCGAACGACTTTTGCAGCAAAGCGGACACCTTATCCTCGTCCTTCTTATCCGCAGCCTCCATTCTACTAAACACGAGCAGCGCATCTCCTTCCAAAAACAGAGGCAGTCTCTGCATGCGCTTATCAGCCGTGTCCCAACCATTCACCTCCGACAGCACAGAGTACTTCAACCAAAAGTCATCAAAGCTGTCACCTGCCTTCCCACCGAAGGACTTCATCAAGCCGTCCAGCTTCAGGCCAGACATGGCTTCAGGTTCAGAAGCAACGCCAACTGCTTCACTGTCCGATACAGGCAAGGCCTCAACCTCTCCTTGTCTCGCTCTCTGTCTCGTACGACGACGACGAGGCATACACTAAAACTGACGTCTACGCACAAACAATTCCCGGGTTTCGGCACCACGCTGTTAGAAAATTACCCCCACAACCGGTCTCAGGCATACCACGGCCAAAACACCACACAGGTCTGGACAAGTAATTATACTAACTGGAAGGTTATTGTTTGTGCTAATACATACGACAGTACAACAAGAGAGAGAACTTTGTTCACAAAACCATCGCCATCGGAACACACCAGAACTACTGTAAAAAGAGCAGCGTGTCTCCGAAAGGAACTGGAGCATGCATGCGTACCACAGCAAGCGCAAACAGCTGCACAGCATACATGCATGCGTACAAGAAAGCCGCATCCACCGGATGAATCACGCACATGAATCACATGACAGGCAACAAGAGGTAAGAAGTAATGTCAACTACACAAGACAGAGTCATACAAGAGAAAGTCATAGTTCGATTACATGGGACAAAAAGGAAACTTGATACAAGTACACAAGACTGAAGCTAGCTTCGAAAACGAACCGGAAGCAACTCATCCCAACCTTTTACATGCATTTCCTCGTTCAAATTTTTGAATTTCCCGCGCTTGCTTCCGCAATCACTCATCGCGCCATGGTTGTCAAGACCACTTCGTCTGAACTGTATCGTAGATTTTGCTAAGGGCCCGGTCCCACATGCACTTGAGAGTTGCGGATCCGCTGCAGCGGTGTCGCAACAGCGTGTATCACCATGGAAACTGCGAGTAGCGGAACTTCCGCCGTGGCGGAAAGTTCAAATCCGCTACTCCAAAATTTTTGGAGCGTATACTCTCCTGCGGAAGTTCCGCTCCTGCGACACTAGTCTGACATAGTGAGCGATTTGTGTTGTTTGATTTTATTTTCGATCATGAAGTGGACAGTTTGACTTTAGTCAGAGCAGCTACGGCTACAGTTGTACATGTATGTTGAAGTCAAGACTCGTTTGGCCAAGGGATGAAGAGAGATACGGAGCGATAGGTGGATAGCCGAGAAGCTGAAACCGACGGCTGCGGCGTCGGCCAAAGACCAAATCCCGGACCTGTGAGCAACCAAGCATGGCCATCATGTAAAACCACGCAGGGGGACCACTGTGATGTAGGTCTAGCAAGAGCGATACATGTACCACTATTACCAGTATCTGTAGCAGTTATCATTGCCATTGGTTATCGTCGACGTGCTGCTCAACAAGTTCGTACTAGTATTCAGCAACAAAATGTCGCTGCGGTCTCCATTGCCTGTCGACAACGTCTCGCTAATCGACCTCTACCCAACGGAAAATCCATTCTTTCAGATTACTAGTATAGTATAGAACAAAGACTCAAAGTCAACAATACCGAACCCACGACATGTAGCTAATGCTTGATACTCAACAAAAACAACGACCTGTCCAACACCTAGTATCTACATCAACAGTACATCAGTGCTGCGTTGATGTGTCCACAAAGGACGAAACAGTTCTGTCCACAGACACAGTACTGACTGTACAGTGTACACCATCACTGCATCAGTACGTGCACGCGTACTTCGAAGTGAAAGCATGCTTGAGTTGCAGGAGAGCTGCACTGAATTTTTTGGAAGTCAGAGAGGCCCGCTCGCTTCGTTCGCCATGCACGCGTGAGCATGTGAGACCACGCGAGCATTTTGTCGCAGGAGAGGTGCGACACCACTCCCGCAAAACCTTGTCGCACCAGCGGATCCGCCACTGCATGTGGGACCGGGCCCTAAGGGAAAAAACAGCTTTCACGCTACCTAGTACGGTAAGCATTGCGTTTACGTTTGCGTCTTTTTAGCTAAGGATGTCTAATGTTGGTATCACACACGAAGACACATCTTCAGTCATGGCGCAACCAGTTTGTTTTTACTAACCTGTGCTGTCGTCCTCACGGCTGCCATTTGATGGCGTTTTCCCCCGTCTTGAGACAGCCAGTAAGCAACGCACAGGTCATCCAAACCTTGCAAGGGTTCGCTACGTCCATCGCCGACTACCTCAGCTAGCTCGCTATACTTGCGCAGTATGCGATGGCCGAGGCCAGAGAACGCTCCCTGCTGAAGCATTTCTCGCGCTCCACCAACAGCCATTGCAGCGGAGCGACTGTAACATGCTTCCACAACCAGCTCCGAACGAAACTGAAGAGTTCGCAGCCATGTCGCTGCGAGAAAACTAGAGGTGAGTTGGCCATTGCTCACGAAATGTGAACACCAGCAAAAGCTCAAAGAAGAAATGAAATGGAGCACTCCGAGTTATAAACCAGGACAAAATTTCTTTCTCGCGTGACCCGCTAAATCCCTGACTAGTTTTGCAAAGACAGCGTAATGACGTGATGCTCGTCATGGACCTCGTCGGATGACACACGAAAGGCGATCCTTGCTAAATTTAGCTCAGGTCCTCCTCACGTGCCACCCGCCATGACACGTGGATTGCAAAGAAGTATGGCGCGTGTTTTTGGAAGTCTGATGGGTTTCCCATCAGGATTTATGTAACTCCCAGCAGGGCAGCAGGCCAGGTGCATCATCATGCGCATATGCATGGAATTGCGAGATCTTGCCACAAGAATTTCTAAACTCTGCGAGGGGCCGCATCGTTTTCAGTCACACCTCCGCATGCACGGTCGTTTTGTAATGTTAGTTCGATTTTGGACACATCCTTTCGAACATGTGTACGATGTGATGTCTTGCCTGCTTGGCTTGTGAAAAAATTCTTTTGTCTACTCATCTCTGCTGTTGTATCTGAACGAGACAGGTGCAGGCCCGAACAAAAGTCCAAAGCTTTGCTATCCTGGCTGTTTACTGCAGCCGCGGTGCTTGACCATTACAAAAGGCTGGCCTGTCAATTCGTGTGCCGTTGTCGCGTGGTACATGCAGCAGACGATCCGACGATTTGATTCGAGAGAATTGTTTTTTGGTGACTCTCAGTCTCAAAGTCTTTGTGCATTTGCGGCCTGAATGCGAATGTAGCAGTGTTTTCCTGACTGACAGCAGAACTCGTTTGTCGCAGTCGGTCTTTGCGTGTGGGATCTCAGATCCTTGTACCAATACCATGCTGGTGTTCATGGCATGACTACCGTCCAGTTCCTATCTTGGGCTTCTGTTGGGACGAATATCATTCTCTATTCGACTGGAATGTAAGACTATTAATTTTGATTTGTAAAGTACTAGTAGTAGTTGATCGGTTGTGGTCTTGCTTTAGAACTCAGAGGCATCATCATTATTGGTGCGCATGGGACTGTGAGAGGGCACGTGTGAGCGCAGTAGAGGGGCGTTTGTGGGGTGCTATGTCCCAGTGTGTGCTTGCTCAAGTGGCACAAGTGCAATCTCTTAGCCTGCACCACTGCCCGTGGCTCGTGCAGCTAAACTAACTTGCCTCGTCCAGAACTGGGCTCACTCAGACTATGCAGCTAGTTGTGAATGAAGTCCTGCGTTCATACAAACCTCTAACTCACATGCTGTTTGGGGGGGGGGGGGGGTCCAGGCATTCTCAGCGAAAAAGCGTTGCACAACATTTTGTAATGTGCAAAGTAACTTGAAATGCTGGTGGTTGCAATAATTTTGCCTTACTCAGAAAGACGAGTGAGAGAAAACTGTCGTGTCCTGGCTTATCTGTGTGTGCAAGAGCCACATAAGCTTCCAAAAGTGTGCAGCTCTGGATACCCTTTCTATGGGGTCCGCCGACGGCGAAAACTCACATCACGTGCCGTAGTGTTCCCGTTGTACAAGTACACTCTCAGCACATTTTAAGGACCCATGGAATGGAGTTGAAAGAATAGCACTCCCTGACAGAAACGCACTCAGCTTATGCGAATCATCAGCATGATCATGTAATGACAGGTAGTCGGATTGCGTGCACGCTAGCCTTCGTTGTACGTAGTAAAATCGTACTTTGAAAACGTGATGTGAGTTTTCGCCATCGGAGACCCTGTCTGCAGGGTTGCACACTGTTGAGAGCTGTTTTACGCTTGGTATGTGCATGCATACACTGGTGCTTGTATCGGTATTGAGCACAGCCCTGCGACTGTCTTCCACAGCATACATGTGGGGGGGGGGGGGGGGGGGGGTGGAGGAGCCTGTTTCCAGCCACCTCCTCGCTCTTCAGCTTTTCACAGCCCATTCCGCCTAGGTCTGGTGTGAACGCTCCTTTCCCAGTCCCCCCCCCCCCCCCCCCCACCCATACCCAGGGTCCGCACAGCCCTTGAAAAACCTAAAATATAACTAGAAAAAATTCCCAGTAAAGAATATACTGAAAAAAACGTATTCCCCGGAGTAAAACATTTAAAGCAACACCCAGATTCTTTTGTCATTTGTCTGCCCTGTATATCACCATTCATTTCACCATCATAGTATGCACCGCACTGACTTGTGCTGGGTGAATTAAGAGCTCTTTCAAAAGTGCGACTGATACTCCGAAAAATGCGGCAGGTCTCGACCAGACATTCTTATACAAAAATCGACTGGATGCTTCTATTGCAAAACCTGCTTCTGC